AATGTTTGTAAGTGCATTTGGAAAAAATGGCTGCGTCAACGCTATCCATCTGACTTTAACCCTATAAATTCTACTATCATGTTTGACACACAAGTTTTGAAATACCTGTTGTACCCAGTCCACTGCATTTGTCATCTAAATTAGTTTACACATTTTTTTAGCAAGTATATTATCCGTTTTAGTGATTTTTAAAATGTCCCCTTTCTCCTGCTTCATGCTCTATGAGCTGTTTTTCTTAAATTTGACTTTTCTAATTATTATTTCAGGCGTTACAATGTTAAAAATATAGATATAATATTAGATATTATAGATATTATAGATAAAATGTGTTTATGTGGTTTAAAGTAAAACAACACACATTATTTTCCACATACTGTACATTATTGTTTCTCCTCTATGCCCCGCCTTTCTGAAACGTGTCAATTTTTACAAAGCTCATCGGTCTGAAAAGCGAGGTGTGCTGTGATTGGCCAGCTATCCAGTGCGTTGTGATTGGCCGAATACCTCAAGCGTGTGACAGAAATGTTACACCCCTCACCATACTGTTGATGCCGTGTCTGGCCGGAGCGACGAGACAAAAACATTAAAACCCATTACAAACGAGGCATTTGTTGCATCCAGTGGGGACATAATTACTGATTATAATGACGTATACTGTCTTTTTACGCATTATGTTGCATCGTGCTGCGTAAACGTAAAACCCTGTCTGCATTTGTGATCGGAGAAATGACAAACAACAACTGCTACTCTACACTGCCCAAAACTCACTGATGATCCATCAAAAATGTTGAATCATCAGTGGCAAATCCTTTAAATGAAAACGTACATACAGACTGTGAGTCAGAACTGCCGGCATTGTAGTCTACTCTACCAGGATCAGGAAGCAGTCCTCCATAAAATGTGATGTACTCATCTGGATATTTGGGTTAAACTGTTCTGGAACAGTGTTGTAAATACAACTTAACCACTGATTTGTAGTCGTGTCCTCTTTTGGAAGGCCAAACAAAGTAGTTTCGCTTTCACAACAAAGCACACAGCGTCTTCATGACATGGCGGCAGCGGCAACAATACTACAGTGAGAATAAAAGTTACGCCTTCTTTCTTTGCGTGAACATTTGGGCGGCATTATGCAAATCTTCCCACATAGTGAGGTAGATATGTGGGGGCGTGTTAGAACGAGCCGTTTTAGGTAGGCGTGGTTAACTCTTAACTTTTATAAAGAATATCTCTTTGGATTTGAGACTTTAGTCTTTGCAACTTTACAGATCTTCTTTATGCACCAAGAGCTTGTAACACTCCAAAGAGAAAAGACAAATTGAAATGGCACTCTGCTGATCCTTTTTTTCTTATAGTTAAGTATAGTGCATTTCTCAAGAGTACTCTTATCTGGCATCCCGCAAATATGATCATAGTGAATTAGTGAGTGGGAAGGTTATAGCGAGGGCAGTGTAAGTTCAGCGGCCTTCACTTCAAGTGTGGCTCTGCAATGACCAGTGTTTCACATCTGCCCTTCAGACCTTAAACTGCCTGTTGATCCCAGCTGCAAAATATTCAACACAAAATAAATAGCTTTGAAAGCCACAATAGTGATTACACAATAATTATTTATGCTACACAAAAGCCTTTTACAAATGAGGAATGCATGTGATTTAGACAGGAGACATTGAACGTGATCACAAATGCGTATATATATTTTTTTTATAAAGCATCTCCATTTTATTGCATCACAGTGCACTAAAAAATTTTTTTAACTATTTTAACTTTAAATTTTAACTATTTGTCACCAGTATGGACGTTTTGTTGTGTTTTCTTGCCCCATGTGCTCAGTGTGACCTAGTTTCTGTCTCCCGTTCATTATCATTTGGTTCAGGTGTGTCTTGTCATTAGTCCCTCATTTACCTGTGTATTTAAGCCCCAGTCTGTTCAGTCTGTGTTTGTCGGGTCTTAAATGTCATGTACATGTGTCTCCAGCCGTTCCTTGTGTGGATTGAATTAAAGACTGTTACTTTGATCTGCGTCTCTGTCGTTCGTCTGTCCCTCCAGCAAAGAAACCGTGATACTATTGCACTTACTAGTTATACTTTAATGAAATCTGCTTAAATGAAGAGTTATCACAGCCAAGAGCCAGTAGTAATAATACTAAACATACAGCACCTTTAATTCTGTTTTAGATACGATGACACATGTCCAGTTCTAGCTCAACAAGGAAAAACAAAACTGGCCTATAATCAGCTACAGGTACCTTGAGATATTTATTGGGTCCCTCCCTGATGTTACCACCTGTCTATATATTTTAGACCACTTTAGACCTTGTGATTACTTTATTACAGATACCTGTACAGATAACGATAGCAGATAGCAGCTACGATAATTATGTCTCTATTTGTTTCTCTGTTTTTGCGTAACTAGGATTTACACAAGCTTCAGTCTGGATCCAGAACACCTGAGAAGAGATGATGCCAACCCCTCAGAGGACCTCAGATGATGCCAACCCTGAAATAACATAAAGAACAACCATATTTTGCTATAAGTTTGATTGCATCATATAATAATTGCTGTTAATAGTGTTCATCGTCTGTTTGATTACGTCTTTAATAGATTTTTCCATACATTAACTGACAGTCACCACTGATAAGCTACTACTAAATATTGTAGAAACCTAATTTGCTGTAAAGTTGCTTTGCAACAATTTGTATAGTGAAAAGCGCTATATAAATAAACTTGAATTGAATTGATTTGAACCTTCACCTCTCCCAGTTTGTCAACTCAGCTGGCAGAAATCTTCCACAAAGTCAACAGTGTATCCATATAGGCAGACTTTGTGTGCTGAAATACAGCTGATTTAAAATTATGTTTGAATAATTTTATGCTCATGCTTAAAGCAATAGTTCGCTCAAAAATGAAAATTTGTTGAAAATTTACCCTCAGGCCATTTAAGATTGTAGATAAAATTGTTTCTTTATGAGAACAGATTTTGAGAAATGTAGCAAACTTGCTCACCAATGGATCTTCTGCAGTGAATGGGTGCCATCAGAATGAGAGCATGTTTGTAAGAAACAAATTCATCATGAAAATGTTTCTAACTTCAAACTGCTTCTTGTGCCTAAAATAAAATCCATAAAATTGCTTTGCAGTGAAAAAGTTGTCTAATCTGAATCAGACGAGAAATATGCACAGATCAAGCACCGTTTACAAGCAAAAACAGTTCAAAACAATTCTATACAATTTTGTCAGTGGATTCTGATGTGAGAGGAAAACAGGGGACTTTTACACTGGAGGAAGCAATATTATGGATTATGGACTGGTATTTTGGCCAGAAGGGACAGTTTGAAGTTAAAATGCATTAATGGTGGATTTGTTTCTTACAAACATGCAGCTTTTCATTTAACAAGGCGTCCAAGTAATGTTAACAAATAATCAATTATGAGCAAGTAATATTTCTCCAAATCTGTTCTGATAAAGAAACAAACTCAATTACATTTGGGATGGTCTGAGGATGGTTACATTTTCAGCTAATTATGATTTTTGGTTGAACTTTTCCTTTAAGAACTGATTCTAAACTAATTACATTACTTGATTTCATATTATAAACTATATATTATAAAGTGGAAAAAATTTGTAACTGCAATATAATAACAGGGAAAAAGGTTTCTGGATTTTTTTTTTCATGCATTCACATTGTAAAAAGAATACTGTTTTAATTGTTGTGGATAAAAATTCTCATAGTGTTTCTGTTTAAGATGTCATCAAATGGCTTCTTCTCCTGTCTTTCCTGATTAGCCGCTGATATGTAGGTTAAATAGCACTTGGAACCAAACATTGTGGAGGAAGAACAGTGATTCTGATTTCATGCACTAGATCAGACAAATGGGTCTAATGATTAAAACAGAAAGAGGATCTGGACAGATCTGGGTACAAAACATTTCAAGATTATCTGATGACCTGATTACGACAAAGAATTGCTATTACACACCACTGCTAATTAAGGCCACTTCTTCTGTTGACGCTTGTTGCAGAAATCTTTTGAGTGCTCAGGAGAAAGCCTGGGAGGACCAATGTGTATGAGAACAGCAAGGGTTATTGTCAGAGGATAATCAGCCCCTGCCTCTAATTAAGGGGCTAGCGTTTCAGAGGCTACAAAATCACCTCAAAAGGGACTTCAAAACATGTTTTGAGCAGAAGAGAATATGGTTCTGGATAAGCTTCTTCACATGTTTTGAAACAGACATGTAGTTTATGAAAAAGTATGTACTATTTAGTGGCCACAAAATATATGGATTTGAAAGTCTTTTTAAGCAGTGATACATAAAAATGTTTAGTTCTCTGTTTGGTTTATTTAGTATGTTCATTCACAATCACACAGTTGAGTTGATAAGCACATTTATTTACGTTGCAGAGTTCTTATATGTGAATAATTGCAATGCAAAAATTACATATAAAAAGACAAACCATTTCTATATATATTTCAGTTACACTTTATTAAGGTGTCCTTGTTACAGTGTAATTATAAATTTAAGTATTAAGTAATATGAATTAACTACATGTACTTACTGTAGGGATAGGGTTAGGATTAGGGTTTGGCTTAGTGTTACTTGCATGTATTTATGCCTGATTAATTGTTATAATAATAGTAAGTACCTGTAACGTTTAAAGGACACCTTAAAATAAAGTGTTACCTATATTTCTATATATATATATTCTATATATGGCATATGTACTGTAGACCTATGCATGTATGTGGATAACGGTCGTATATCACGAATGCTATACCAACGTATTTTACTAAACACAGCCTATTAACCAAGAACATTCGTTTTTTCTTCTTCTCAAATTTGTTATTGTAAAGTGCTACCAAAAAGCTTAGCCTACTGTTTATGTGCGAACACTACACAACTTTAAGTAATCGAGTGTTGAGCATTAAAGTGGTTTAGTGTGGGAATGTAACTTCAAGCCAATCAAAATGCAGGGGACCTCCTCGGTCCTGAAGCACATGCCAAATATAAATTCTCCATCGACTGTGAAGTCTGTGAAGTCTACAAGTCATAAAAATGCTAGACTCGCTGACGCTTCTATTTGAGAAATTCTTTCTTTTCTCAAACTTTAATATTTTTACAAGTCTATGGCAGGAGGAGCCAGAGCGTGCGGTGAAATGGCCAGTGCTCAGGAGAGGAGATCTTCTGGAGGTGCAGCGCACTCTCTTCATTCATTACGGCATCTATCTGGGCGACAACAGGGTGGCGCACCTGATGCCTGACATCATGCCAGCATTAACCAACAACAAACAGCTCATCAAACCAGTCGTCACTAACAAAAGACTCATATTAGGCTGTATTTACAGAAACGCGAGTATCCGCGTGGACTCGGTTGAAGATTTCGCGTATGGAGCTCAGATTATGGTCAATGATATGGATATGAAAATGAAGTGTCAAGCACTGGTGAGCGAAGAAGTCGCGAGGAGAGCAGAGAAACTGCTCGGCGACATTCCGTACAGTTTATTATGGAATAACTGTGAACATTTCGTGACATATTGCAGGTACGGGACACCTGTGAGCCAGCAGACAGAGAAGGTGAGTTTTTTTTTACATCGAATCTTTTAGTATTATAATAGCCTACAAAATATGATGCTCTACTTATTAAAATATCACAGAATTAATATTGGTAACAAAATATTATAGGATTAATAGGCTACCATGCTATCTAAATGCCAATATTTGCAGCAAACATGCATTATGCAATCTAGGAAAACCCGACACATAGTGAAATTTTACCTTTTTTAGGTTTTGATAGGCTACCATATGAATACTGGGTTCAAGCAATTTCCCAAAACTGTTTTTATTTTGTCCATAGCTTGAGCGTAACAAGTTATGCTATCTGAAGTTGGCTGATATAGCCTAGGCTAGCTAGCTATGATTTTCAGGAATGGAATTGTGAGAATAACGGGTTTAAAGTGAGACGGGTTTCACTTTCACTTCACGGGTTTCGCGAGAGCTGTCTGTCAAGCGCGCTATATTGCATCATTAGGCCTACACAAACAGACTAACGTTACCCTGAAGAGGACAGTTTTCCGTTGTTTATCATGGGCATACATTTTGATCACCCCTTGTATGTTTAGGTAGCCTAGCACGAATAGTGTACCTTGTGGTTTACATTTAGAAAAGCGAGCGCAGCGCGACAGTTCGCGCACCTGTGCATATAACAGACTGTCATCGGTCTCCTCCTCTTTAAGTAACTTCATCATCCAATCCTTCATCTCTGGATGTGAAATAGTCCATATAACATCGTTTAGGGCACTGGCATCACCAAGATTGAGCAGACTGAGACGAGCAAGATCGTTTAAGTGAGCAGCTACCTCTGTGTTGTTTTCTTGCGCTCCGCCATATCACGATATTAAAAAAAATAAAAATAAATAAACTTTGCGTGCCGTAGTTTACACTGGACTGGAGGGAAATGTGCATTTATACACCTTTATTATATATGTTACGTGGTTTATTTTAATAGGTTAACTGTTTTGTGGTGTTAAGAGAAAGCACCTCCGCAGCGCGTTCTTAAAAAAATACACTATTTTTCTGCAGTAAACAAGTGAATTTTGCCAAGATATTTTCAGAGATGATAGACAAGATGTTATAGAATAGGCTAATAATTTAATGAAAAACTAATTTTGACAAAAAAATTGACATTCGAGCTATTTTTCGAATTTCCTGAAAACGTCCCAGCGCCACATCCGACGGGTTTTCCCAGATCACTAAATAAGCCTATATTCTTTAAAAAAAAAAAAAAATATATATATATATATATTGGTTGGGGAAGAGACAATTGAATTTGATTTGGACAAAGTCTGTTAATGATATGTTTAATGTATTTTCTTTTGCAGTTCTGTGACTGTCTGAAAACCATCATTCGGGACCAGAGAAGTGTGGCCTTAACTGTTGGAATAGGAGTGATGTACATCCTGTGCGTTGGCCTGGCACCTTCAACTACATTACCCACAATCCTTATTCCCTTCATTCTGTGGATGGCTGGCTGAGAGACACTTTCACTACAGCACATTAAACAACAAAGCTCAGTTTTAAAGGGGACAAGTACAAAACAATGCAATCCATTCGTGCAGCAGTGGAATATGTGTAAACATGCAAAGTCTGATTATGTAGTCAAACAATGTTTAAGCATCAATTGCTTTTTTTCTTCGATATATGTTAAAAGATGAGCTCTTTCATTTAAATAATTCATGACATGCTGTTAACTCTGCATATACAGCAATGCTGTATATTTTTCATCTTAAACCATATACCTAAAATTGGTAAATCCCAATATTGTTGTATAGCTTAAAGTTACAGATTGCATGTACTGTTCACTAAAGGTGCCTTATATTTGTATTAAGCAGAAATGTTTATGATCACTGATATGGAATTTAACTGATATGATCCATTTTAATGTACTATGGACTGTGATTTAAGACATAACATATATAAGTAGTCCTACTTGTATTTTTTTATTGTTTTTATTAAGCTCTGACGATGCTTGATTGTGAATTTGTACAGTTTAAAATGTATATTTAATACCATAAGTTTCTGAATGAGAACCAGAACAGGAATAATTATGCAGACAGAACAATTTGATGAATTTTGGCATTATGTATAAATAAAATTATTATTTCTGGTTACTGATGTAAACAGTTGATTGGATTTATTACACTATTTTCATTCAAATAAAGCTTGTCTGACCTGTAACTGAACTTGTGGAATTTGCGCAAGGCCGGTTGCATAAAAGGTTAAGACTAGTTAGTTAGTAAAAGTTAGTGAGCTATTTTTTTCTTTTAGACCGGTCATAATTTTTTAAAGTTCAGTTACATAAAAATCCAAATAATAAGACTGATTAACCCTTGGCTAACTGCTAGTTTGTAGACACTGTCTTAACATAGAGTCTAAGTTTATGCAACTGGCCCCAGGTTCTATAATCTGAGCTGTTCACCTTTTAGTCTGATTTGCCATCACTAAGCTTTTTTAGGCCAGGTCACAACTACAATAATAATGGGGAAAAAATTATTTAAAATATGTATTGCAAACTTCTTCCAAACATTAATTCATATGGGGAAAATGAGGAATAAAAGAATTTAATCAATGAATAATGGCATGGAAGCAAGGATGTGAGGTGAATTTAAGAAGTTTAAATAGTGGTCTAAAACAGTGGCTCGCAACCTTATGACCCTCCATTATTCAAGACAATATTAAGAGCCCTCCTAATTTAGAGACCTAAGAAATAAAGGTTAACAAAGGCCATAGAGAAACAATTTTGGTTCCCCAAAGAACTATTTTTGTTTCAATTTTTTGTGAAGAACAATTTAATATTCTAAAAAACTATAAAAAAATTTTTTCCATATACAGTATCTCACAGAAGCGAGTACACCCCTCACATTTTTAATAATATTTTATTATATCTTTTCATGGTGTTGAGTTATTTTGAGGGGACAGCAAATTTACACTGTTATACAAGCTGTACACTCACTACTTTACATTGTAGCAAAGTGTCATTTCTTCAGTGTTGTCACATGAAAAGATGTGAGGGGTGTACTCACTTCTGTGAGTAACTGTAAATTATTATTTTTTTATATCAGCAAATAGCCCACCATTGTTTGGCTGGGTCAGATAAAATAAAATGATAAAAGAAACCAGTCTAGCAAAAGGTAGATTGGCTTGACGAGTAAACATGTTTGAATAAGTTTTTGATGCAGCCGTCCCAAATTAAATCTGCCTTTTCTTCTCCCATTCTTCTCCCTATTCCCATTACATATAGATTCTCAATTTGTTATCACACTAAAAGTTAACCTGGTTTTGAGGTTCTCAACTGCAAGATTTTGTGCAAAGCCACCATCTTCAGGAGAGTCTCGGGCCTATACGTGACCAAAATTATGTGTATATAAATAACATACTTATTATACAATTGGTCAAGTTAGAAACATTCTTCAGGTTTTGTTTAACCTATTCTAACAAGTAAGCATTATACAATAATTAATCTTGCTACTGCCCCAGGACTTTCACCTCCTGGCAATTAAGACTTATTCAGCAGGCCATTTAAATAACTATTTATACACAGTGTGGCTTATATAAAACTTGTGAAATTACCTTGTCATAGTCAACATGTGATGCACAAAAGCTGCTTTATTCACTGAACCACATCACTCCTCCCAGAGCAAATGAAATAAATTGAACAGATGTGAAGTGAACAGCATCACAGTAGACTGCCTTCAGCCATGATCGCGCTCAGACTGCTTAATTTCTTCTTCATCACCTCAACACTGGAGGATGAATATGAAGAAGACAGACGGAAGAAAACCTACGACATCTCTCTTTACAAGCGTGGTGACCTTTTGGAGGTATCCAGGACTCTTTTTAAACATTTTGGAATCTACTTAGGCGAGGGTCGTGTTGCTCATTTCATCCCAGACATCCTACCAGTGTTCACTAAAGAAAAGTCCATCACTGAGCAGATGGTGACCAACGAAAGACTGATTTTGGGAGTTTTAGCCAAAGCAGCTAGTGTCCGTGTGGACTCTTTGGTGGATTTTGCGTACGGTGATTGCATACAGGTCAATAAAATTGACAGTATGGTCAGTGTACAGCCACTGAATGGAGAGGAAGTGGCACGACGTTCAGAGAAGCTGATTGGATCTTTCTCCTACAGCTTACTGTGGCACAACTGTGAACACTATGTCATGTACTGCCGCTATGGTGTTGCATTTAGCTTCCAAACCTTTCAGGTAAGAAAACTAAAAAGGTGGAGGGTGGATATATAAACAATTTGAATATTGATACACAATAAATCCTTTTTTTTTAAGAATCCTTAATGCTCACCAAGGCTGCATTTATTTCATCAAAATACAGTAAAAGCAGTTATAGTATGAAATATTATTAGAATTTAAAATGACCTTTTTTTCTATTTCAGTATATTTAAAGATGTAATTTATTCATGTGATGGCAAAGCTGAATTTTCAGCAGCCATTACTCCAGTCTTCGGTGTCATATTTATTCTAATATGTTAATTTGGTGCTCAAGAAACATGTCTTTTTATTACCAATGTAAAAAATTGAATATGTAAATAAATAATCTTATTTACAAATTAAACATTTATATGTATCTATTTCCGGCAGCTTTTTGGAGTATTATGTATTGCGAGATTATGCAGTTAATTGGGAGTATGAGATTAAGAGGAGCCTGAAAATAACATTTTAGTTTAATGACAAAGCAGATTTTAACATAAACTAAGCTTTGCTTTCTATGTGTGGACATAACAGTCACACACTAAGCCTCCCACAACATTTATTTACTTGTCCACTTTTGTTTCCAAATTCCAAACAGGATTTCACAATTTCCTCCTACACAAGCACAGATTATCTCCTATTTGAATATGTCAGTGAACTCCTCTCCTCATGGTTTATTCCCCATAAATAGAGCTGAGAAAAGACGAAAGGCATCTTGTGCATTTTTTAGTAACCTTAACCTCATGTGCCATGAAAAACTGCTAAATGCAAAAGACTAAACAGGGTTATTTTCAGAGCACAAGAGCCTCGTTTGAGCTATAGCTACAGTTCATAGCCTTTTATATGGAGCCAAACAACTCAAACTATGAATATGATTCATTGGTCCATTTTGAATTTCTAATTTGTGTGTGTGTGTGACCCTGGACCTCAAAACCAATCTTAAGTGTAAATGTTTCGAAATTGAGATTTATATATTTATATGCAAAAAAAAAATCTAAATATTCAGAAAATTGCCTTTAAATTTGTCCAAATATAGTCCTTAGCAATGCATATTACTAATCAAAACTGAAGTTTTTATATATTTACGGTAGGAAATGTACAAAATATCTTCATGGAACATGATCTTTACTTAATATCCTAATAATTTTTGGCATAAAAGAAAAATCTACTTTTATATATATTTATTCATCATATATATATATATATATATATATATATATATATATATATATATATATATATATATATATATATATATATATAAAATAAT